CAGCAGGACATAATCTACAACCACAACTACATAACAAAAACATGTCCAACCCTCTGATTTGATTAATGTATAAAACAGTCAGATCCTTCCATGTTAATGGAATAATGGTATTTAATTATTTTGGTAGAACAGCTGGTTCCTATTGCTCGATGTTGGTTGTTAACTAAATTATTGTTTCTCTAGGATTTGCTTCTGCTCTGTCTTGTCGGCCGGAAGCTTCATTTCCTAGTTGGTTGATATTTCTGTGTGTAATGCTGGTGTGAATACAAGTATGAATAACCAAACATGAATCAAAATGAATTCATAACAAAACATCTATTTGACTGAGAAACAGAGAACGGTTGAGCAAAATATTAAATAACTGTATAATAAGGTTAACTGAAAAGTAGTAAAGAGAGGAAATTGGAAACAAAGTCTAATTAGGATATGCATTGCAGGAATTTCGGGAGAAATCATTGGTGGTTGATAATTAGAGTCAAACGATCAAATTATGGAAAGAAGTATAAAAGAGATTGTGGGAAGAATTGGGTTGGAAGAAGGGTTTTAGAGATTTTGTGTCGATATTATGGGTGGGTGGGTGAGTGGCGGGTTCAACCGACCCCATATTTTTAGGCTATCTTCACTGCGAAATGCTAGAATGTCAAATTTTGGGATAGATTTGATATTCTAGTCTCGAAAAAAATGGGTCGGACACTAACGGTAGAGGAAAAATATTATGAAATCTATATATGTATAATGGATGTCCATTGTATCATCATCCCACAAACACCTATTAAACTCCCACCAAGACAATTGGCAGAGGAGTAGAGGTGGCAATTGGATCGGATTCGTGGATTCATGGATTGGATTGGTGGATCCATGGATCAAATGGATTGGATCCAATGGATTGGTGGATTCATGGATTGGATCAAATGGATTGGTGGATTGATCCATGAATCCAAATGACATCCAAAGCTTGGACCAAAATGTAAAATTTGAAAAGTTTTGGTACTAAAATGTCATAATGAAAAATTTTAGGTACCAAAATGTAATTTTCCAACGATATTTTTCGTATAAAAATATAAATTTTAGGTACCAAAATGTAAAATATAAAAAATATAGGTACCAAATTGTAATTTGCCATTTGGATCCATGGATTGATCCATGAATCTACCAATCCAATTGGATTTGGATCAAATGGATTGGATTTAAATGGATTGGATTAGGTGGATAATTTGGTGGATGGATTGGATTGGATTCATGGATTCGGATCCTAATTGCCACCTCTACAGAGGAGATTGGATCTGCAACTCCCAGCACTAGCTAATGCCTATATAGTATATTCAACATAAACTCGCAAAGTCCTTCAAAGAAAAAAAAAAAACATAAACTCACAAAGGACGGTCGACCGATTTTTTCTATTGCCCATAACACATTTCAAGTACCATATGGGAGATACAAGGAAATACATCCTTATATGTTAGCATATCGGAGATACTCGATGTGTCATTTATGCCTTCAATCATCATACACAATTATATATATAACCCCATGTTTTTCAATTCTCTCTTCATGTGGCAATGTATAGTTCTCTTGGTCATCACATGAATATTGTGTAAAACGAGTTAATCATCATCAGCACGTAAGAAACTTCCTTTTTCTCCCTATAACTACTAGAAAGATCACCAAAAGCTAGGTCATTACTTGTAAAGAAGAAACACTGTTGGCATGTAATTTCTTAAAGGGGGAGTTTTTTTAGTATGATATTTCTACAAAGGGTACGAGACTTGTAGATGAGTTTCTAGCAATTGGCTCTCTCAAAGAAGAAGAAAAAAAGTTGCCATTGTGGTTTGGTCAATAGTGTCTGTCTCGGTAGTGGCAGCTCAGCCTTTTGATGTTGTTTAATTGGGTCGTGGGTTGTGTTGTTTTAATTATTCGATAAATATGTATGGCTTAATTGTGTGCTTACCAAAATGATTTTTGTTAATCTTACAAAAATTCCTACCCATAGAGCTAGTTATGGCCTATGGGTATACAATTTGAAGAAGTGAAGGAAGGTCGAGTTTAAGGAATTTGTAGTCAGCTGGTCTTTTCTGTTTTTTTTTTTTTTTTCAGAGTATAGAGCGATTTTTCATAATGTTAACTGGTTTATTTATAGAATGACACGTTTTCATTGTTTTTTTTACGTCCTTTTTTGTTTTTGGAGTTTGGGTGTTGTAGATTCAATAAGCACCTCAAATAATATTTAGCCTTCCTTAATTATGTTATTAAGATTTTGGCTTGTGTCTACTTTTTCATGATAATTATATATTTGCTCTTTAGTTAGGTTTTTGCTCTAGTGGAAAATATATATATTTAAAAAAAGGGGGGAAAAGAGAGAAAATATTGGGTTTTCCATACAAACTGTAACTCCTTTTTAGCCTGCCAATATAGGGGGAGGTAGGATGTAATTAGATCTTCAACAAATTTGACTATCAAAAGTAACAGACAACTAAATATGTAGTCTTAAACACATCCATGGGAGATCGCTATGTGCTATACAAATGCAAGATCAATTATATATTCATCGCAGAATTTGTCACCAAAAAACTTGTAACGTATAGGATTTGAGATTTTGAGTGATTCGGTCAAATAGTCGTTTGGATGAGATGTTTTGTCATTTTCAATTTTCAAACAAACACAATATTCATCCCCATTATACAGGTTGACCTTTTTCATCCTTGTTCAATTCCGCGATTTTTGGATATCAAAATTCAAAGCAAACTTTATATAATTAAGTTGAAAACACATTGTAGAACTCGGACATTGAACACTTTATATAAGTAAGATTAACGAGTTTGGAGTCATGATCTTTTTAAATTTTGGCGAGAATAAGAGAAGAGACAAAAAAAAAAATTGAATGTATGTACCGTATGAATAGAATGTGGATGCCTAAATCCGTCCCAAACCCATCTCCACCACTTTCTTTACGTGTATTACCCATACCCAACGAATGTATATGTTAACTAAATTGTTAAACATCGCAAAAATAATTACGAACCAAGTTGCTTGTTAAATTTGACCTAATTTCATGCTCTTCCTAAATGTACCAACAAAAGTAGGTCTGCTATGCAATGCAAAACACACCTATTCTGTGGTATATGAGTTTGGCAAAATTGACTTTTCTAGTTCCTCCTACTGGTGCAATATCCCTGCTCTGGTCTATAATGATGATGATATTTCAGTGCGGCTGCCCTTAAAGTGCATATAACAAACACATTCTATAGGGAAAATTCATTTCCTTTGCGTCGAAGGTAGAGCAAGTTATTCATAATGTATAGCTGCTCGAGTTGAAAAGCCAGAAAAAAGAAAAGTGTACAGAACTAGCTATCTAGGTTTCTTTTTTCTCTCTTTTTTTTTATGAAAGAAAAAACCATCTAGGTTTCTCAAAGGGGGATGTCGAGTGAAAACTGCAGTTCTAGAATATTATTATCATCATTATTACATATGAAAAGAAAAAGGAAAGATGGTCGAATATGGTAAAGAAACGAATTGGGTTCATTTCTTCACGACTTCACCAAGATCTTGAAGCAGCGGCCAGCTGGTCTAGGGCAACGGGAAAAGACCAACATGACTAAGGAAACAATCAGATGCTTTTTGTCTCGGCTGGATGCACTAGGTAACGTAAACTTGGTGATTGGTTAGGGTGACAACACTCATTATATCATTGTGGGGATTACGTTATGAACATAAATACGATTGACAAAATAATAGAATACGAGACAACGATTTTACTGTTTCTCTTTAGCGAATTATATTCCTCTCGACCTTCTCAATATATACCCAAGATTAGTGAAACAATTCCTTCCGAGATAGAATGGATTTATCTTTATGGTGTAGCAGTGGTACTACAAACTCCATAAGTTTAACGACCTAAACCAACTGAGCAAATCACACGACTATGTTTTCTTAGAGAGAGAAAAATATCGAAAGATAACATTAACTTTTTTTTTAGGACACACAGAATTCATATGGAAAACAGAGAGCTAGTCTTATTATTTAGGGTTAATGACACTAGAAAACTCGAACTATCAAAAAAGTGTTACTAACACACCTCAAAATTCTCCAAGTTCAAAATTCCCCATTTGCCAGTGTCATATTTTTCGATGCTAGAGAACAGAACTAGATGATATCTCTTTCAGGGGTCCATGGACCTTGCTTAATCCCTTGGGCCATGAAGGCCTTACATGGACATCACTGACGAGCATATCAATTAGTTTCGGAGGAGGCCTATTTAAGTGCTATCAAAATGGGCTTCCAAGTAGGCAAATTGGTGGGCCTTGGATTAAAGGCCCACCCAGTCACCTGGTCCATAGAAATAGCTAGGTGGTGACTGCAGAATATGTGCAGAAGCATATGAATGTTTCGATGCTGTTCTTGACCAGGATGTGAACAATAATGACTCTTTCCTTAGAGATAGATAGATGTGGATGTTTCGTCTCAGTGCCTCACTTGAATTTGCAAGTCCTTGGACAGACTGTATCCATGGCTATCCTCTTGCCTATTAGGAAAATGCTAGTCACTCCGAGACCAATCTAGTGAAGCTGGAAAGTACTCGTGATTCGTTATATCGTACTGCACCGACAGTAGGATCGTAAAGACCATTTACCTCTAGTTAGGCCACTACGACCGATATAACGCAATCAATCTGCCCCGTACTTACCCGTATTAGTTAGTACTAGCTGTCGATTTTGCTGATTTTGTTCTCTATATATACAACCTCCGTCACGATTTTACAAACCATAAACACGAGCCATCCATCGAACTTAACTCGAAATTAACCTTAATAAACTTAGAAACAGGAATAAAAACCAAATCTGGAGATTTACAAGGGTGGCAAAAAAACCTAACTGGTAACCTGGGCACTAGGCAGCAGAAGAAAAAGACACAAAGGGAACACAACAAGTACAACAACAACAACAACACGCACTAAGCTAAAAAAATAACAAAGAACTAACATTTTACAGTGCTCACTTTCCACTCTAGAAACCGACCCCAGCCGCGCCGATTCCGAGCCGGTGCGGCTCCAGCTTCCTGTTCTTCCAGCAACAAGCCTCCGGAGCCAGCTTCGCTGCCGCGTTCCTCGGCTCCGACTTGCACCGCTTCAGCATCAGCGGCAGCTCGTAGTCGTACGCCTTGCCGCTGCCGCGGCTCTTCAGCTTCATCTCCAGTCCCGATCCCGTCGACTCCGCGCCGGGCCGCCAGGCCAGCGGCTGAGCCGCCGGATACGAGCAGGAAGACCTCGGCGGCTGATGGTGCTGAGCCTTCAGCGAGCCGCTCTTTCGCATCTCGGCTTTGTTGACCGGCTCGGAGACCGCCACGTCAACGCTGACCGTCTTCTTGTCGCTGGACGAATCTCCGCCCTTGATTTTCTTGACCGCGACTGCCCTCGACGGCTCCGGCAGCCATCGGATGAAGTCCGTACTGCAGACCCATGTCTCCTTGGAAACCTCCATCGACAGCTTGGGCTCGCACATCATCAACAGCAAGCAATCCGGTAAAAGCGGCGTAATATTATTATTCTTGTTGTTTTCTCTCTCCTTTGATTTTTGACCCGTTGGACTCGGACCTTCCGTCTTCGGGTCATCGGGTTCGGATCCCTTGATACCCGGTTCTTCATCCTCCTCCTCCTCCGCCGCCGCCAAATGTGGACTCTCTACCCCTTCCACCGCCGGTTCTGGCTCCTGAGCAGTTACTACTTCTTGCTGTGCCGCCGACTCAGAATCGGGATCTTCCGCCATTAATGTTCCTTCACCGCCGGTTAAATTGGCCTGAACTGCCATTATTTCCTCATCATTATCTACAGCCGACGGCTTCTCCAGATCTGAGATCTCTTCGTAGGTAGATTCATCGATCGGCGTTTCTCCATCGGAGGTTGACATCGCCACTGATTCCACCTCTAGCCTCGGCACCGGAATCTCTTCGCCGTCTGCTGAAACTTGAGCTAAAGCTGGTTCATCATCAGTTGCCGATTCTTCTTGAACTAGGTGGGAGTCCTCCGCCATGGATTCCTCATCGGACTTCGAATCAGTTCCCTGCTCGTCACCCTCAACTATTATTTCGTCCATTTCAACCGCTTCTGCAGCTACATTTACAAAACCACCACCTCCTTCTGCTGCTGCTGCTTCTGCTTCTTCTTCCTGGTGCGGGGGAGGTGCTGCATCTTCTTCTCCATGGTTTCCTCCGCGGCCGTCGTCTTCGTCGGCATCGGGAGGGTTCCAGAACTTGTTTCCGAGAGCAGCCACTTTCACAGGGTCAGATCTACACCTCATAAGCAACAGAGCGTTCTTAGGGGGAATGCAAATGCTCATCCTCGATTCTTCTCCTTCGTGTGCTTCCGGCTTCAGATCGAAATCGATCTTCTCAAATCCATGGTACCTTCTATAGCTCCTCCGCCGCATCTCCGGGCTACTGTACAGTTCATCTTCATCTTCTTCAACCTCCGCCTGTTCTTCCGCCACCAACTCAATCTCCCTCCCTTTCACATCCCTCTCCTGCACGGCCACAAGCCACCGCGCAAACACCGTCCCGCAGGATCCCCCGTCGTTAGATTCATTCCCCCTCGACACAGCCACCGCCGTTCTCCCTTCTTCCTTCTCCTTACTCTCCCCGCCGCCGGCAAGGCACGACGAGGAGCGACAGGGCAAGAAACAGTTGAACTCAGATCCAAACGTTCTAAGAGCCTCGCAAATCGTTAGAGGAAGATGCACCCACCTCTGGTTCCGCTGCTGCGAAAACTCGCTCTGCTGGTGGAACACGGACTCGGCGGCGGCAGCGGCGTTCCCGTCGCTGATCCCGCGCTCCAGCCTCCTGAAACTCCCCTCGCGGCCAGGCGTCGCCGGGGGCGGCCTCGACAGAGATCTGGCCCGCAGCTTCTTCGTCTGCTTCTTGGTCTTCACCCGGACCTGGCCTATGCAAGTGACCTTAGGGGAAGAAGGCTCCGGGTTGTCGAACCCGCATCCCCGCTTCTTCCCTCCCCCGCCGGCGGCGGGGAACATCGGGGAAGCCTGGCCTGCTCCGCCCTTGATGCTGCCGTTGGTGCGGAGGCGGCGGCTGAGGGAGGTGGAGAGAGAAGCCTGATGTTGCTGGTCTCGGGAAGAGGGCCGGCGGCCGGGGCTGAGGATGGATTTGGAGGATGAGATCTTCATGGAGGAGGAAGAGAGGCGGGAAGTGCTGAAGCAGATCAACAGCTCCCCCGCTGTACTGCTGCTACTATTGCAGCTGGCGGTGGTGGGGCGATGGAGATGGTGATTGGAGTTGTGGGGTCGATTATCTTTGTCCGCTTCCATTTTTTTTGGGATCACATCAGAGAAGAAAGAAACCCCTCCAATAATGTGAATCCAGGCGACCAAAGCGATAGAGAGAGAGATATTTTGTGTGTGAGAGAGAGAGAAAGGGATGGGCGATGGTGGTGGGCGTCTGTGTTCTTTGACAGTACAGAATGCAGCAAGAGGGAGAAGAAGATGGAGATGTGATACTGGGCTTGGATGGAGCAAGAGAAATATCTTGATGGATTGAAGAGAGGGCCCAATTGCTTCAAGAGTCGGAGGTGGCCCGTGGGCCTAGAGACGGGCTGATTGGGCTGCTTAAAAAAAGGCTTTTAACCCATAATCAGAACTTTTTAACTTGTTACAGTCTCACAGAGGAATGGTAGTATGGTACACTCAACTTTTTATCCTTTTCCGTTGCTTCGATACACCAGTATATATTTGGTACAAAGTATTGGCAGATTCTCAGCGCCTCTGTTTGGTCTGCTCAAGTTGCAGTCAGCACAGCAGGCGAGTGTTCGTTAATCGACGACCTGTTCAAAACCGAGATCACCTCTCTACCAACCATGACTCGAAAGGGGTACACAACATCTTCGCCAAGGTCAGCGCAACGAGGAAGTGCCTCTGGTTTCCTGCTATTCGCGTCGAAAGCACGAGCAGACAACTTTTGGCCTCGGGTCATATACACCTTTCCTCTCTCAGTCACAAGCTCTGTACCAGCAGGGTTTATTTGACCTTTCTGTATTCTGCTCGAGTCTACTCATCTATGTCTTCTAATTCATCTGGTACATGCAACTTCTCAATGGCAGCCTATTGATAAAAACACAAAACCAAAAGATTTTGTTGGGTGGAATTCTTCCTTGGATGCTATCATTTGTGAATGGAAGATTCGAAATGTGTCGCGACTACCAAGAAACTGAAGTGAGAAAAAGGGTGAACCTACCTTGATAGTAGCGGCGTCTGTGGCAGAAGGTTTCAAATCCAAGGCATGTCCGAAATGAAGCATGGCCTTGTCATGCATGTTTCGCCTCTTGTAGATTTTACCCATCAATGCGTACACGCTGCTTTCACGAGGTGCGTATTCTTTGAGCTCTTCTAGAACGTCCAAGGCTTCATCAAAGCTTTCCATGCTAACAAGGATGTTAGCCTTTTGATACATTGGAAGAGGGTTCTTCCTATCGGCCAGTATCGCTCTTTCCATCATCTCCAGCGCTTCTTCATTTCTCTGCAAGTGGGATAAGAAGCCTATAACACAGGACAATTAGAAGACTAATAAAGGAATAAAACTCTTGCCAGGTAGCCTCTCACCCTTAACGTATGCAATGAAGTCCCGAGATACGACATTATAACTGATGAACGTGGATTGATTTGGAAAGCCATTCTGAAATGGTGCTCGGAGAATTCAAAATTTTCCTGGCGTAGGTAGATCATCCCAAGTCCGTACCAAGCATTGTAATGTCTGGTATCAATTCTCAAGGCATTCTGGTAACACTTGATTCCAGTTTCAAAATCCTCCAAAGCTACGTATCTGAAGGTAGAGAGCAAACAGTATTATTATTAGTTGATATACATCACAATGAAGGGAGAAAAAGAGCAAGCGAATTTACACACAAGGGAGGGAACGTACTCGTGTCCACAAAGTGTATGTGCATAAGCATATCTTGAACTAAGTTGGGCAGCTCGCTGGAAATTCTTCAAGGCGCTTTCGTGGTCTTTCTGTAAACTATAGCAATTTCCCATGGCACACCTAAATGGCCCATGGAGAAAGTACAAAGAATCGACAATCATGAATTGAATCTATAGCTCTGTCAATGAAAATATTCAGTACCAGAAGAAAAGAAAAACGACCAAGTGAAAGGACAACAAGCATAAGCACACAGTGCCACAAAAATAAATGGGTATCAATAACCCAATAGTGCCACTAACTCATAGTATCATTCTCCTGCACTTTCACATCTTGCACGTTGGTCGAAAGTAAGTATGCCCACAAGATTTCAAGTTTACACAAGCCCATGGTATCTGTGATCCCGTTAAAGATAAGTCTTTCTTCTAAACCTCAAGTATACATAAGTTAATTCTATCTAATGTTTAAATTAACTATTATTATGGGGCAGATTTGGAAACGACTCCTTCCAGTCAGCGAAGCTCTAATACCATGTCAACGACCAGTCGACTAACTCAAAATACTGAATACGATCCGAGATGAATCTAAATATCAGAGGGCCATTGTTTTCACAGTGCAATTGTGTTGAGGTATGGATGTTTGATGTATAAAAGCTAAGCAAACAAATAAATAAAAACACATGGCACAACCGGTAGAGGGAGTAATCACAAGGCAGCATGAAAAATGACCTGCTACAAACAAAAGGCAGGAATATACCAAGACTGGGGAGCTAAGCGATCAGTCGATGTCAGTTCTTGAGCAAGGTAACTTAACTTCATATCTTCCTTCAAATGCTGCAATGAAGTAAATAAGTTTAAGTGTTTAACGGACTAAATACCATTTGAATAAGCATACTTAAACAAGCATCACCAGAAAGGACGATTGAGTAAAGATGTGAGCATAATTCGGGGATGTATGCATACTTTCAGCTGCCAACAAAATAGAGACGGGGGAGAGAAGATAAAACTGTCCCCAAAACCAGGAAAAAAAATTCTTTTGACCCTTAATAATATTGCATACTTAACAAGCTAGCTAAGCAGCAACTTCAATGAAAAACGGGACGACCAAATCAGCAAAAGTCTTGAGGACTAGGACTCACATAGAGAACAGTAGAATATATGTCTAACCCTTCCAAACTGTATGGTGATGCACGACGAGCAAGACTGAAGGCTCGGTCAGCTTCCAAATAATCTACCAATTCAAAATATGCTTTTCCAACCTGCATGGAAACCAGAAGTAGCATAAGTTCCTAAATGATAACCATAAAACTGCAGAGAAGTCGGTGGAAGGCATATAGCATGCAGAATGAAGGAATTTGTCTTGTTGAGAGAGATAAGAATGACAGCTAGAACAGGAGAAGCCAAATTCAGTCCCAGGCCCATATTGAACAAAATAGACTATTACATTAGTCGCCCATGTACTAAAGCAACTGAAAGTAATAGTGGGAACTCCCCAAGTGACGGAAAAACAATGATAGTTGAATCAACTGTTTAACAGGACTTTAAACCGTGATTTTGACTTAAAACATATAATACTTTCGTCATCTTGTGTAAGATTCGACAGTGTCAATATTCCGCTTAGAATTTCAGCTTCTTCAAGTTACAACACATAGACATAGGTGCTAACTGCTAACAAGGGAAAGAAAACCAAGTCAAAGGACAAATCAGACGTGCACACAAGATTTTTAAGGAAATCCATATACAGGAACAGAAACCAGAACGTTTAGGGAGTAAAGATATCAGAAAACAAAATGATAGAAAATCTATATGTCGTCGCAAGAAAGAAATTTACACGACCTAGAAAATGTTCAACATTTGGATTTGCGAGACTACCTGGGAAAGAACCCATCCTGTGTTATAGTGCTTGTGTGGTAGTTTCATGTATGCATCCAGTGCATCCTGTAGTCAACCAAGAAGCAACTTAGAGAAAGTAAATAGAAGCAAGAACACTGAATATTGGTTTCAAGTTGTACGAATACCTGACACCTATAAGAACAAGAGAACCTGTAGCCTTCTCCAAGAATTCTTAAGAGACTTAATATTTCAGAAGTACCACTTAAGATTTTTGAGGCACTCATCATAACCGTGCCAACAGGGACAGCTGCTCCATCTGCTTCAGAGGATCTAGTTTCACCAGATTGTGACGGAGTAGGATTTGTAGAAGGAGCATTTACACGTATATCATCACACATCTCATTCCGGAGTCCTTAACAATATCAAGCGAGAAGTTTTAGAAGCTGTTCACTATAATCAATTCAACAATCATCAACGCACAAGGTAGTGGTCCTCTGAGTTAACAATGTGGGAAAAGTGGAGCTACCAGTAGTACTTATAGCACTTCCAGTAACAGCAATAATCAACAGCAACTTTAATCATAATACACAAATTTCCCCATTAAATCAGCAAGACAAAACGCGAATCACCACCTTCATCATAATTTTCATTGGCCCAAGACTGTCCTTTACGAAGGGTTACAGAACGTATTGTCATGGAACCCAACTTGGAACCTCCAAGAAACTTAGAAGAATTGCCGTTACCATTCCCAGCAACTGACGTGGTGGTTGCATTTGAGTTGCCTGCTACCTCTGCAGCAAGTCTTGAACTACGTCGAGGGCCAGAATCAGGAAATAACCTTCCCGAAATCTGAAATCAAAACTATACCAAGGTGAAAGGAAGAAAACAAAAGTGTTCTTAGACAACGAGTTTAAACTAGTATGCCCAGATGAAACCAACCAAATCTATCTACAAAATCTAGCAAGCAACAAGGACATCAGAAACTTCTGATACTATAATGTAAAGAGAACTGACGACCTGACACTGATCCCGCTAGCCTCTAAAAAGCAATAGATGGGTTCTTATATAAACAATGGTATTATCGGATTAGAGGTAAAAAGACTCGGAGTGAAACAAGTGCAATGTGCCAAACTGCAGTTCTACAGTACTGACTTTTCCCTCACAGTAGACAAGATGACTGATTCCGCAATAGGAATCTTCACTATCAAAGCTAACCGCCTAACCCACTTTGCATGTTATTGAGATGGATTTGAGACAGCTACCATGATAAGTGTCGAGTACATGGAAACTACGCGCAGTATACAACTACAACCTCCATGATGACCATGATCATTGAATCCTCACCTTCCGTAATTTCCCTTCATCAACAACCTTCCTTCGTGGAGGTTGAAAATTGGCATTCACAACTGATTTTGGAGAGTTATCAGTACAAGCGTTACTAAGATTTGGACCGTTAGCCTGCAGATTTCTACAAGGAGGGGGTGCAACACTCAAGAACTGAAAAACACCACGGACATCGTCATATTTATCAGGTATAAAGGGAGACGTAAAAGACAAAAAAAAAA